CTGCCTGCTGCTTGGGTCGGAGGCTGGTGGAGTCGTTTCAGTTTAACCGTCCGGTTGTTTTTCTTTCCCGTTTTCTTCCAGCATCTCCCTCGCCAGCCAAGCAGCGGGCGAAAATGGACGACATCGTGGTGGTGGCGCCGGGAACGCAGCCCTCCCGCAACGTGAGCAACGATCCCGATGTCATCAAGCTGCAGGAGATCCCAACTTTCCAGCCCCTTTTAAAAGGTAGGGGCTTATTCCCCCTCTGGATTTAAGGGCCCGCTTTATGGGTGGTGGAGCACGTGCTTTGGTTATTCGCAGCTTCCAGCTGAAGGTTGTGTCTGTCCATATTTTTGCTCTCACCATGCCTGTTTCAAACGTTCCTTCCTTTTGTGTTTTCCATAATTACGCCTGGCCTTTCTAAATGATTGGCGAGCTATCCCAGAGGTGTTGGTAACGTTGTGGGAGGTAGGATCATTACAGTGGGCTTGGATCAGCCCTGCATGTGCTGGCTTGTCCATGTCGGAGTGTTAAAGGCCGCTTATGACTTGTGCAGTCTCCAGTTTTGTTCTAGGCTTTCCAAGGCCTCCATGTGTTACTGCCCCAGAGTCATGGCTCTGCGCATGTATGATTTCAGTTAAGCTTGAAATCAAGATTTATTGTTGTGGTGTCCAACTTGCAACAGTTTCTATCCTTGTTTTGGAAGGAGATAAAAAAATAGAAAGTGAGGCTTGGGTGGGGAAGCATCCTCAAGCCTGGTGTTGGCCCATCAGTGATCCTCTTAAATTTCCCCTGCATGTCTGTCTGTCCATCTCTCTCTCTTGTGCTCCCAGTTTTTATTCCCTGCTCCATCGGTTGTGGTCCCTGCTCTGCTCCAAGTGAAGCAGTAAATCACAATTGGCTTGTCTGCAGAGTACCCAGGTTGCTCATGCACGGTGGCTTGGCTCTAGCCCTCGTGTTTCTGGCAGCTCTATAGCCCCCTTTGGGGTGTGGAGCAGCCTGCAGGAAGGGAAGGGATTCAGGAGCAGGCTGCTCCTTGGAGCAGCGTGCATGTGCACACCAGTGTGCACGCGCTGCATGATGGGCGCTCCATGAGCCCATGTTTTAGGAAGGTTTTAGGCTGACTGCGCATGTGTTCGTCGGCTGTGTTGCTTGCTCGTGTCTTATGGAGTGGCTGCTGCAGCGAGGAGGGAGGACAGCGTGCCTGGCTCTCCCCTGCTTCTGGGAGAGGCTGGTGGGGCTGGCATGGGCAGGGGCTGGGGTGTCGCTGCCCCTGCGCTGCTGCTGGGCAGGCACGGTAGCCGCCCTGCCCCACGGGCATCACTAGGTGCTGTCTTGTTAGACAGGGACTCTTGTCTCTCTTGTGCCTTTTCTTTTTTTCCTTTTCCTAATGTGCCTATTGCATGAGGATGCTGGAGCAGCAATAGGACTTGTGGGCACTATGAGATAGACTGATGAGCCAAGCAGTTGACATTTTATTTGGTATGGCCAGACAGGAATTTAGAGCACTGGCAGTGCTGCTTCTAACAGACAGAGCTGAAAAGCTGGGAGGGGAGGGTGAGTGAAGAACAGAGTAGGAGAAAGGCATAAATTTGGGTATATTTGGGGATAGGACTGGTTCTTCCCTTGACAAAGGAGTGTATGTGTTGCTTGTAGAGATTGACATTGCAGTCTGAAAAGAAAGAAAGAAAAAACTTAATGGATTTATTCCAGACACCACTTCTGCTATTTTAAATGACCACTGATGTTTGCGTGATGTTCGTTTCAGCAGCAGGCTGGGTAATAAACAGTGGGTAAATCTTGTCTTTGCCAGAGTTTGAATTCACAAAGCAGGGAGCTGAGCCAGGACCTCACCAGTGGTAGCTGGAGGTATAAATACTACAACCCAAATCTGAAGGAGTTGAGGGAGCTCTTGTCCCTAATAAAGCCCTGATCCTTACTGGTGCAAAGTGCTGAAGTGGAAGCAATTGATGGAAGCAACCTGCAGATGGCAGATAGCAGTGAAGGGAGTAAATAGGAGAGAACAGCAGTGCTGGGGGGTGGAAGAGGGAGCAGGGCACAGCAGTGATCTTGGGTTAGGTGGCATCAGAGAGAACAAATTGGGAAGTGTCACCAGCAGCTGGCCCTGGACTGCTGCATGTGTGTAGGGGGGATGACGAGGAGTTTCAGTTCCACGTGGCTGGCAAGCGTGGAGAGCCAGATCCGCGTGGGGGCCTGAGACGGCGGGGCTGCTGCCAGCTCCTTGTGGCAGTGTTCCTGCATGGCTGGCTGGGAAGCAGGGGTACTGGGCTGCAGGTGCGAAATGAGGAAGGGCAGGGTGGCAGCAGGACTCTGGCTGAGGTGGAAAGGTTGGGGGGCACGGCCTTAGATCACTGCTCCAGGCCTTTTAGTCCTAAAAATGCTTTTGTGGAGTTGTTTGAGGGGAAGTCCTCTAGGTCACAGAGTTGCTTTTGCTGGTCTTACTTCCTGCCTGAAGCAGAGTAGCTGTGGGCAGCTGCTTTTTCTGCTTGTTAGTTGCTCTAATTGGAGTCTCTTTCCTTACCAGTCTCTTGGGATATGATGACATCTGGTGACTGCTGGAGGGTATCACATCCTCCATTGCGTTGACTTTGCGCTGCTTCCTCTGTCTCCAATACTTTACCCCTGCTTGCTCCACAAGACTTTGATACATAACATTATGCAGAAAGCAGAATGGTCTGTGGAGCATGTTGAGCCTGGAGACAGCCCAGCTCTGCCACAGTCCTGCTTGAGAAGCTATCCAGTTTTGCACTGATCATAAAATCATAGAATCGTTAAGGATGGAAGGGACCTCTAGAGGTCATCTAGTCCAACCCCCCTGCACACACAGGGTCAACTAGAGCACGTGGCACAGGACTGC